ACCCCTAAAATTCTCTGATTCTCTGACACTGCCACCGATGGCCTCAGGGCTGAGACCAGTGTGGCTCTCACACAGGGTAGGCACAGCTGGGGCAGATGTTGTGAACTGTCTGTGCTTGATTTGGGTCTGTACCAGCTCAGCCAGAAGCTGTTCAGGTTTGCTAGTGACTGCTCACCAGGGTTACTCAAGAGTTACTGAATATGGAGAGAGATTTCCATCCCAGAGCCAACACAGGACTCCTCCAGGATCATGGAGTCACAGATTTCAGGGTTGCAAAAGACCTTCAGAGATCCCCTAGTCCAACCTCCCAGATTTGACTGGAACTCAGGGTTGAAAGGAGAGTGTAAGACCTTTGAAGAAGGGGCAGGAAACTCAGGAGGACAACAAGACTTTCAGGAGGTTATGAAGTGAGAAAGGTAGAAGGGCCAAAGCCCAACTAGAACTTAATGTGGCCTCTGCTGGAACAAAGTGTTTCTATAAATACATCAGCAGCAAAAGGGGGACTAAGGACAATCTTCCTCTTTTATTGGGGGTGGGGGGAACATAATGACAAAAGGATGAGGTTGCTTCATCCAAAAGTTCCCCTAAAGAGCTGAAATGACACATGTTGCGACATCTGAGCAACAGAGCCAGTGCAGGGACTTAGTTCAGTGGAAGTTGCTGGGTAAAATTGACTCTGGAAGAGTCAAACCACTAGGACATCCACTGGAAGTATCTCGAGCTATGTCTCCACAGGGAGCAGCTCCTGTCCCAGGAGGACCTGTGGTTGCTGTTGGTTTGGTGCTTCTCACAGGAGCCTCACTAGGTAGTTTTGTTCCCTTAGGGTTTGCCATGGAGCAGGGCCTGTAAGTGGATTGAATTGCTTGTTTGCTGCTGGGATAATTGCAGTTAAGAAGAATGCTGTATTGTCAAATGGCTTCTCCTAGGCTTCCAGAAATGCCTCTCCAGGGCTTTGTAAACTGAACTGTTATTTACCGCTGAGAAGTTCCATGGGAATTGTATACGTGTTTTTTCCTAGGATCTTTAGATGAATAATTGTGTTGCTTTTATTTCTCTGGATAGATGATTACAAATGTCTCTGTGTGTTCCCCAGTCTCTGGCTGCTCACTTAAGCACTAAGGATGTGCTGTAAACAAGACAAGCCTGGGTAACACCTGCTGCATGTCACAGTCCCACTGCTCCTCCGAAGGGCTGAGTCCAGGCCCTGCCTGGATTACAGCACTCCAGATGTGTGTTCTGTTGTCAGCTGGCCTAGTGAAATCACTGTTTGTTGACAGGTTCCCAAGAGTCAGACAGCTCTCAGTCTGCCAAGAAAGACATGCTGGCGGCGCTGAAATCCAGGCAAGAAGCTCTGGAGGAGACACTGCGCCAGCGCCTGGAGGAGCTGAAGAAGCTGTGCCTGCGAGAAGCGGTAGGTGATGGGCACGTCGTGTCCTGCAGCACCTTCTCTTTGTACCACAGCCTTGGGAAGTTCCAGCTGTTTCAGCTCCAGATTGCAATGTGCAGGACATTTCCCCCCAGAGGAGGGACCACATGTCAGTTGGGTACCCAGTTGGTTTGGGGCTGGGAGTGTGCTCAGCATCCTTGTCTGCTCTCTGAAACTGTGTTTAGGGTTCATAGAACCATCAGGGTTGGAGGAGACCTCTCAGATCATTGAGTCCAACCATGAACCTGTCCCTGCTGGAACCCCCAAACCCTAACCCAGATCCTCCAGTGCCACATCAGACACCTCTGAAACACCTCAGGGATGGTGACTGCACCACCTCCCTGGGCAATATCCCAGTGCTCAACACCACAACAGGGAAAACATTTCTCCTCACATCCAATCTGACTCCCAGTCTCTGATTCCCTTCACCCACTAAGCTCTGGGGCAGCTGGGAAGCAATGCCAGTGTGGTGGCAGACCTTGGAAAGAGGAAGCACTGTGTAAATGCCAGGACAGGCAGGACAGCTCAGGAAGTAATAAGCTTCCCACGCACTTGCCAGTTGATCCTTGGTGTACACAGGAGGCCATTTAGACATCAGTTTAGTGTGTGGGGAAATGACAGCCCTGCTGCAGCTGTGTGCAGCTCACTCCGGGGTCATTCCACATCCTCCTGTGTTTCCCAGCCCTCAGTGTCCAACTTCAGCAGCAGATCAGTGTGTGACAGAGGGAACAGGCTGCAGGCAGTGGCACAGAGAGCTCCCAGTTTTGCCTAATGTTTGATGTGCAGCTCGTCTTTGATAAGCAGGGCAGAAATAGGTCACTGAATCAGCTTTCACTGCACTCTGTTTCAATTAGTCTGCAGTTTTAACACCAGAAAGAGTGAGCTGTGGAAAACACCTCCTCACCAGAAGTCCCTGCTGGCCCAGTTCCCATCCCTTACCCCACCTGAGCAATCCTTTCCCACCTGGAGAGTCCTGATTGACTCCAGCAAACAACTGGTGCTGATAAAGGTCCCAGGACCAGTCTCCTGAGTCCATGGAGCTGAGATCATCCCCAGGAAGCAGTCACAGCTCTTCAGGGACTGCTGGGCAAGGTCTGGAGGAATCGACTGCCCTAAGCTAACACTGCTGCTGAGTAATCCCCACAGCTGCAGGGGCTCTCAGCCCTGTGCCCTGGCTGTAACCCCAGCCCTGCCTGCAGCCTCAGGCTCCAGGAGCAGCAGGGATGCAGGCAGCAGCTCCCACTGGGGCGTGGAGTTGGTGGTGAGACCTGTTCATCCTTGCTGTGCTGCAGCAAGGCTGAACAGAGCCCATCTGTCAGCACCTTGAGAGCTGCTAGGAGGTGCTAGTGCTTTCCTCGGGGGATGGGAGAGAGGCAGTTGATGGACACTTGGAATCTGGCCCTGCCTTGGAACCCTACAGCTCATCCATCAGCAGCTGGGAGCTGCAAGGATTTCCTCTCAAGCTGCCTTTATGTTTGGCATGGGAATGGCTGCAACAGAGGGAGGCAAACCAGGAGCTACAAAAGGGTTAAAAGTGGGGCATAATCAAGTAAGTACAGCCAGAGCCATTCACAGCACTGGCTCAGGTTACTTCAGGCCATCACTGCTGCAGTTACTTATTAATTTGGGTTACATTTCATGACTGTGCCTGTGAATATTTCTCAGCTTGTGGAGGCAGCAAGGGCTACCACGTTCACTGTGTCCTGCTCAGGGC